TAATTTTGTAAGATTCTGGCTCTAATAGTTTGCCAGAAATAGTTGGGCCTAGCTGCCCACTGTAGCTAGACTCCCAATATGTTAATCTACATGTCTAAGACTGGACTATGGACTAGGCAATAGACTGGACAATAGGCTAAAGTGTAGATTAGACTAGAGACTAGACTATAGACTAGGCTATACACAAGACTATAGACTAGACTATAGACTAGACTTTAGACTAGACTTTAAACTAGACTATAGACTAGACTGTAGACTAGACCATAGACTAGACTATAGACTAGACTATAGAATAGACTATAGACTAGACTATAGACTAGACTATAGACTAGACTATAGACTAGACTATAGACTAGACTATAGACTAGACTATAGACTAGACTATAGACTAGACTATAGACTAGACTATAGACTAGACTATAGACTAGACTATAGACTAGACTATAGACTAGACTATAGACTAGACTATAGACTAGACTATAGACTAGACTATAGACTAGACTATAGACTAGACTATAGACTAGACTATAGACTAGACTATAGATTAGACTATAGACTAGACTATAGACTAGACTATAGACTAGACTATAGACTAGACTATAGACTAGACTATAGACTAGACTATAGACTAGACTATAGACTAGACTATAGACTAGACTATAGACTAGACTATAGACTAGACTATAGACTAGACTATAGACTAGACTATAGACTAGACTATAGACTAGACTATAGACTAGACTATAGACTAGACTATAGACTAGAATATAGACTAGACTATAGACTAGACTATAGACTAGACTATAGACTAGACTATTGACTAGACTATAGACTAGACTATAGACTAGACTATAGACTAGACTATAGACTAGACTATAGACTAGACTATAGACTAGACTATAGACTAGACTATTGACTAGACTATAGACTAGACTATAGACTAGACTATAGACTAGACTATAGTTAGTTAGTTAGTTAGTTAGTTAGTTTAGTTAGTTAGTTAGTAGTTAGTTAGTTAGTTAGTTAGTTAGTTAGTTAGTTAGTTAGTTTAGTTAGTTAGTTAGTTAGTTAGTTAGTTAGTTAGTTAGTTAGTTAGTTTAGTTAGTTAGTTAGTTAGTTAGTTGTAGTTAGTTCGTGTTCGTTAGTTAGTTAGTTCGTTGTTCGTTCGTTAGTTAGTTTCGTTTTGTAGTTAGTTCGTTAGTTAGTTAGTTTCGTTAGTTTTCGTTTAGTTCGTTAGTTCGTTCGTTAGTTCGTTCGTTAGTTCGTTCGTTCGTTTCGTTTTTTCGTTAGTTAGTTCGTTCGTTAGTTTCGTTCGTTAGTTCGTTCGTTCGTTCGTTGTTCGTTCGTTCGTTCGTTCGTTCGTTTCGTTCGTTCGTTGTTCGTTCGTTCGTTCGTTCGTTCTTTCGTTCGTTCGTTCGTTCGTTCTCGTTCGTTCGTTCGTTTCGTTCGTTCGTTCGTTCGTTCGTTCGTTTCGTTCGTTCGTTCGTTCGTTTCGTTCGTTCGTTCGTTCGTTCTTCGTTCGTTTCGTTCGTTCGTTCGTTTCGTTCGTTCGTTCGTTCGTTCGTTCGTTCTTTCGTTCGTTCGTTCGTTCGTTCGTTTTCGTTCTTCGTTCGTTCGTTCGTTCGTTCGTTCGTTCGTTCGTCTTCGTTCGTTCGTTCGTTCGTTCGTTCGTTCGTTCGTTCGTTCGTTCGTTCGTTTTCGTTCGTTCGTTCGTTCGTTCGTTCTTTCGTTCGTTCGTTCGTTCGTTCGTTCGTTCGTTCGTTCGTTCGTTCGTTCGTTCGTTCGTTCTTTCGTTCTTCGTTCGCGTTCGTTCGTTCGTTCGTTCGTTCGTTCGTTTCGTTCGTTTCGTTCGTTCGTTCTTCGTTCGTTCGTTCGTTCGTTCGTTTTTCCCTCGCCTTCCTTCTGTTCTCCCTCCGTCTCCCTCTTTTGCTTCCAGTTGTGTCCATGTCTAGACCCCCTCTTCTCCACCCTGTTTTTTCAAATCTAATCAAATCAGTTCTAATCATTCCCAAGATTTTCTACAGACTACTTGGCTTTTTAAATTTTTATTTTGTAAAATAATAAAAACAATTATTATAAAAAATTTAATTATTTCCTTCGAATAAAAGTCATTTATTACTAAAATAAAAACATAAATAAATAAACTCAAAAGTCTCTTATCAATTTCTTAGCAGCTTAATAATCCATTCTTAAATACTTTCTACTTATAACGAGATTTCTCTATACACATATGAAATCATTCATTCTTTCATTCACCCACTCAGTTCAATGCTAAATTAATATGTTTTGTAATTTTTGATTCAGAATCTCCTTAAAGTGTGTGAGTGTATGTATAAATGTTATAAATATTCTATAACATAATATAAAATGTAAATAAGTATTGCCTACACTTTAGGGGATTTAAAACTTGAATAGCATGTCAACAATGTTGATACATCATTTTAGGGATATTGTTGAACACACCCCCTCTTTAAGCCCCCAAACATTCTGCAAAAAAAAAAAAAAACAGTTAACGACAACAGTGAACGTCGAACAATGGAAAATAACAGAAACATGTGAAAAAGAAATCAATAAATTTATTGAACTGTTAAATAAGCTAAATCACCAAAATCAAGCAAAAAATATATTTTTTTTGGAAAAAAATGAAACGTGCTTCCGACGTTTTACACTTTAGTGGATATTTTACACAGTCAGTATTAAATTTTTGTGCCTATAACATGTGGGAGTTGCTTCTATTTAAGCAATGAACCTGAATGGAAAATGAGCTTGTTTTGCCTTTGAGTAGGACAGGAGGAAAAAAAGGACAAAGAATTTAATTTATATATTGTTTAAAAGTGAAATGCTTAATTGAACATGGTGTTTCCTACTTACGGTTGTTACAATTTTATATTAGTTTTATGTATAAGTAGAGTATTGTAGTAGGCGTTTTAATGGAAAGAATTTGTTGCATAGTTTTAGGCGTTTCTAAAATTAAATCTAATATGTTTTATTAGATCGTACATAGCGTGGTAGATACATAGTATATTCTATAATTTAGCCAATAATCAAGTCTATAGTCTAGTCAATAGTCTAGTCTATAGTATAGTCTATTGTCTGGTATATAATCTTGTCTATATTCTAGTTTATAGTTTATTCTACAGTCTATAATGAAGTCTATAGCCTAGTCTTTAGTTTGGTCTATTATCTAGTCTATAGTCTAGTCTATAGTCTAGTGTATAGTCTAGTCTATAGTCTAGTCTATAGTCTAATCTATAGTCTAGTCTATATTCTAGTCTATAGTCTAGTCTATAGTCTAGTCTATAGTCTAATCTATAGTCTAGTCTATATTCTAGTCTATAGTCTAGTCTATAGTCTAGTCAATTAGTCTATAGTCGAGTCTATACTCTATAGTCTAGTCTATAGTCTAGTCTATAGTGTTAGTCTATAGTCTAGTCTATAGTCTAGTCTATAGTCTAGTCTATAGTCTAGTCTATAGTCTAGTCTATAGTCTAGTCTATAGTCTAGTCTAGTCTAGTCTAGTCTATAGTCTAGTCTATAGTCTAGTCTATAGTCTAGTCTATAGTCTAGTCTAAGTCTATTATCTAGTCTATAGTCTAGTCTATAGTCTAGTCTATAGTCTAGTCTATAGTCTAGTCTATAGTCTAGTCTATAGTCTAGTCTATAGTCTAGTCTATAGTCTAGTCTATAGTCTAGTCTATAGTCTAGTCTATAGTCTAGTCTATAGTCTAGTCTATAGTCTAGTCTATAGTCTAGTCTATAGTCTAGTCTATAGTCTAGTCTATAGTCTAGTCTATAGTCTAGTCTATAGTCTAGTCTATAGTCTAGTCTATAGTCTAGTCTATAGTCTAGTCTATAGTCTAGTCTATAGTCTAGTCTATAGTCTAGTCTATAGTCTAGTCTATAGTCTAGTCTATAGTCTAGTCTATAGTCTAGTCTATAGTCTAGTCTATAGTCTAGTCTATAGTCTAGTCTATAGTCTAGTCTATAGTCTAGTCTATAGTCTAGTCTATAGTCTAGTCTATAGTCTAGTCTATAGTCTAGTCTATAGTCTAGTCTATAGTCTAGTCTATAGTCTAGTCTATAGTCTAGTCTATAGTCTAGTCTATAGTCTAGTCCCCTATAGTCTAGTCTATAGTCTAGTCTATAGTCTAGTCTATAGTCTAGTCTATAGTCTAGTCTATAGTCTAGTCTATAGTCTAGTCTATAGTCTAGTCTATAGTCTAGTCTATAGTCTAGTCTATAGTCCTAGTCTATAGTCTAGTCTATAGTCTAGTCCATAGTCTAGTCTATAGTCTAGTCTATAGTCTAGTCTATAGTCTAGTCTATAGTCTAGTCTATAGTCTAGTCTATAGTCTAGTCTATAGTCCTAGTCTATAGTCTAGTCTAGTCCTATAGTCTAGTCTATAGTCTAGTCTAGTCCATAGTCTAGTCCATAGTCTAGTCTAGTCTATAGTCTAGTCTATAGTCTAGTCTATAGTCTAGTCTATAGTCTAGTCCTATAGTCTTCTAGTCCATAGTCTAGTCTAGTCCATAGTCTAGTCTAGTCCATATTCTAGTCTAGTCTATAGTCTAGTCTAGTCTATAGTCTAGTCTAGTCTATAGTGTAGTCTATAGTCTAGTCTATAGTCTAGTCTATAGTCTAGTCTATAGTCTAGTCTAGTCCTATAGTCCTAGTCTATAGTCTAGTCTATAGTCTAGTCTATAGTCTAGTCTATAGTCTAGTCTATAGTCTAGTCTATAGTCCTAGTCTATAGTCTAGTCTATAGTCTAGTCCTATAGTCTAGTCTATAGTCTAGTCCTATAGTCTAGTCTATAGTCTAGTCTATAGTCTAGTCTATAGTCTAGTCTATAGTCTAGTCTATAGTCTAGTATTCTGGAAAGATTGATAATTATTGATTTAAGAAATTTGTTAGTTTATCTCTTACAATCATTTAAATAAAATTTGTTTACGAATCTTTGCAGTTTCGATTAATTTTTTCGTTTCCCTCTTTTCTTTATAGTTCCGGTTGATATACAACAAATTTGGTAAGTTATCCTTTGACAAAATCGTTTTACAAATTACTTTACTATAACTCAAGTCAGGTACTTCAAACTTTTATTTAACTTCGCCTCAGTGTTAATTAAAGCTACTAACTCTTTTTTTGTGGACCACACCTTTTGCTTAATAAATTCGGTAAGAAATCAAATACTGACTTCGTTTGCTAAAAACAAATAAAAAATTGTAAATTTCTAATCATGAATATATAGAAAAAGTGTAGAACAACAAAATTTTGTATGTATATATTAGTGTTTATATGATGACATAAATAATTCGGTCAAGGACTCTAGAGACCAAACTCATTTAAGTTTAGGTTTCAGTATTTTTTTTAACGTAGAAAACCATAGTTTTTTGTGATGGTAGTAAATTGGTTACATGACTAACATAACTTTACTAAGCCGCACATTAATTTAAACATTTTTGTTTTTTTGTTGCAACATTCTTCTATAGAGGTACAGTAATAAAATATCTAACTTAACTTTTGAATCTTAGGTTTATTTGTTGTCGGTACTGGGGTTCTGCGTACTATTTTTTCTCACTTTTTCTAAAGAATTCATAACAAAGGTTTTTCAAATTAAGCTTAAAAAATAGAAGAGTGAACTGGAGAAAATAAAAATACTTTTGAGTCGAGAAAGTAAGGTCGGTTAAGTTCGACTAGGCTATAGACTAGACTATAGACTAGACTATAGACTAGACTATAGACTAGACTATAGACTAGACTATAGACTAGACTATAGACTAGACTATAGACTAGACTAGACTAGACTAGACTATAGACTAGACTATAGACTAGACTATAGACTAGACTATAGACTAGACTATAGACTAGACTATAGACTAGACTATAGACTAGACTATAGACTAGACTATAGACTAGACTATAGACTAGACTATAGACTAGACTATAGACTAGACTATAGACTAGACTATAGACTAGACTATAGACTAGACTAGACTATAGACTTAGACTATAGACTAGACTATAGACTAGACTATAGACTAGACTATAGACTAGACTATAGACTAGACTATAGACTAGACTAGACTATAGACTAGACTATAGACTAGACTATAGACTAGACTATAGACTAGACTATAGACTAGACTATAGACTAGACTATAGACTAGACTATAGACTAGACTATAGACTAGACTATAGACTAGACTATAGACTAGACTATAGACTAGACTATAGACTAGACTATAGACTAGACTATAGACTAGACTATAGACTAGACTATAGACTAGACTATAGACTAGACTATAGACTAGACTATAGACTAGACTATAGACTAGACTATAGACTAGACTATAGACTAGACTATAGACTAGACTATAGACTAGACTATACTAGACTATAGACTAGACTATAGACTAGACTATAGACTAGACTATAGACTAGACTATAGACTAGACTATAGACTAGACTATAGACTAGACTATAGACTAGACTATAGACTAGACTATAGACTAGACTATAGACTAGACTATAGACTAGACTATAGACTAGACTATAGACTAGACTATAGACTAGACTATAGACTAGACTATAGACTAGACTATAGACTAGACTATAGACTAGACTATAGACTAGACTATAGACTAGACTATAGACTAGACTATAGACTAGACTATAGACTAGACTATAGACTAGACTATAGACTAGACTATAGACTAGACTATAGACTAGACTATAGACTAGACTATAGACTAGACTATAGACTAGACTATAGACTAGACTATAGACTAGACTATAGACTAGACTATAGACTAGACTATAGACTAGACTATAGACTAGACTATAGACTAGACTATAGACTAGACTATAGACTAGACTATAGACTAGACTATAGACTAGACTATAGACTAGACTATAGACTAGACTATAGACTAGACTATAGACTAGACTACAGACTAGACTATAGACTAGACTATAGACTAGACTATAGACTAGACTATAGACTAGACTATAGACTAGACTATAGACTAGACTATAGACTAGACTATAGACTAGACTATAGACTAGACTATAGACTAGACTATAGACTAGACTATAGACTAGACTATAGACTAGACTATAGACTAGACTATAGACTAGACTATAGACTAGACTATAGACTAGACTATAGACTAGACTATAGACTAGACTATAGACTAGACTATAGACTAGACTATAGACTAGACTATAGACTAGACTATAGACTAGACTATAGACTAGACTATAGACTAGACTATAGATTAGACTATAGACTAGACTATAGACTAGACTATAGACTAGACTATAGACTAGACTGTAGACTAGACTGTAGACTAGACTATAGACTAGACTGTAGACTAGACTGTAGACTAGACTGTAGACTAGACTATAGAGTAGACTATAGACTAGACTATAGACTAGACTATAGACTAGACTATAGACTAGACTATAGACTAGACTATAGACTAGACTATAGACTAGACTATAGACTAGACTATAGACTAGACTGTAGACTAGACTGTAGACTAGACTGTAGACTAGACTATAGACTAGACTATAGAGTAGACTATAGACTAGACTATAGACTAGACTATAGACTAGACTATAGACTAGACTATAGACTAGACTATAGACTAGACTATAGACTATAGACTAGACTATAGACTAGACTATAGACTAGACTATAGACTAGACTATAGACTAGACTACAGACTAGACTATAGACTAGACTATAGACTAGACTATAGACTAGACTATAGACTAGACTATAGACTAGACTATAGACTAGACTATAGACTAGACTATAGACTAGACTATAGACTAGACTATAGACTAGACTATAGACTAGACTATAGACTAGACTATAGACTAGACTATAGACTAGACTATAGACTAGACTATAGACTAGACTATAGACTAGACTATAGACTAGACTATAGACTAGACTATAGACTAGACTATAGACTAGACTATAGACTAGACTATAGACTAGACTATAGACTAGACTATAGACTAGACTATAGACTAGACTATAGACTAGACTATAGATTAGACTATAGACTAGACTATAGACTAGACTATAGACTAGACTATAGACTAGACTGTAGACTAGACTGTAGACTAGACTGTAGACTAGACTATAGAGTAGACTATAGACTAGACTATAGACTAGACTATAGACTAGACTATAGACTAGACTATAGACTAGACTATAGACTAGACTATAGACTAGACTATAGACTAGACTATAGACTAGACTATAGACTAGACTGTAGACTAGACTGTAGACTAGACTGTAGACTAGACTATAGACTAGACTATAGAGTAGACTATAGACTAGACTATAGACTAGACTATAGACTAGACTATAGACTAGACTATAGACTAGACTATAGACTAGACTTTAGACTAGACCTTAGACTAGACTTTAGACTAGACTTTAGACTAGACTTTAGACTAGACTTTAGACTAGACTATAGACTAGACTATAGACTAGACTATAGACTGGACTATAGACTAGACTATAGACTAGACTATAGTCTAGACTATAGACTAGACTATAGACTAGACTATAGACTAGACTATAGACTAGACTATAGACTAGACTATAGACTAGACTATAGACTAGACTATAGACTAGACTATAGACTAGACTATAGACTAGACTATAGACTAGACTTTAGACTAGACTTTAGACTAGACTTTAGACTAGACTTTAGACTAGACTATAGACTAGACTATAGAGTAGACTATAGACTAGTCTATAGACTAGACTATAGACTAGACTATAGACTAGACTATAGACTAGGCTATAGACTAGACTATAGAGACTATAGACTAGACTATAGACTAGACTATAGATAGCTAGACTATAGACTAGACTATAGACTAGACTATAGAGTAGACTATAGAGTAGACTATAGACTAGACTATAGACTAGACTATAGACTAGACTTTAGACTAGACTTTAGACTAGACTTTAGACTAGACTATAGTCTAGACTATAGACTAGACTATAGTCTAGACTATAGACTAGACTGTAGACTAGACTATAGACTAGACTATAGACTATAGACTAGACTATAGACTAGACTATAGACTAGACTATAGACTAGACTATAGACTAGACTATAGACTAGACTATTGACTAGACTATATACTAGACTATAGACTAGACTATAGACTAGACTATAGACTAGACTATAGTAACTACATAGTAATTATTCTGATCCGATTTGTACACTTTGTAGTACTTACTGTAGGGTGTAATAAAAACTGCAGGCTATAACAGAAAATGGCGCAAGAGTCTGTAGACTCGAAAGAACAAACAAACAAACAATACAAAGTGGTAACATAAATAACTACATCCGTTTCCTGTTAAAACAATACAGTTATACATAACAGGCACTTGCACACAACTACCACTAAAGCTACAACAAATACTTGCCAATACAACTGCTGCTAACAATTGTTTCTTTTGTTTTTATTTTGTAATTTCTAGGAAAAGTCCTAAATAAAACACAGTGGGTTGTTTTTAACCTTTTGGAAAATACGGCTGCTATTAAAGCCAAGCTGGGAGTGTCAGTAGAAGTGTCCTTTAAAGGAAACATATATTTATAAATGTCGCTAGCAGTCGCTTTCCTAACTATCCAACTGGGTAAAACTACACACCAAGATGCTGCATACTTTTCAGATTTCTGATTATTGTTTGGTGTTCTAAAAACCAATGTAGTTACTTTTTTATTTGCTTACCGCCCTACTGTGCATGGCATCTCACAAACATCAAGATGTAAAGCAGACTTTTTTATTTAGGTTATAAACAAGAACTGAAAATAGCGTGTAGAAGACAAATGATAAATTTACCTTTTGCTGTTTTGGACTTTAATGAAAAATTAGCAGTTGGAAAAATATATAAGACTAAAGGAAAAACTGTTTACGGTAGAGAAGCATGAGAAAATATATATATATGAAAGTTATACTTTGTTTTAGAGAAACAATAACAATTTTAAC